GGCCAGCTCCCAGAAGATACCCAGACAAACTGAGTCACTTGGAAAGGACACCTTCCAACCTGTTGAGCTGCTTGAAGGCTGTGCAGTGTGTTCCAGGCTGTCACCTGAGCTGTCACCCATGCTGGTGTAGCAGACTTTGGTGATACAGCTGTCTTTGAGTCATTTCTGCTCCTGTAAGTAACTCCTCACCCATATTCCTGTAAGTGACCCCAATCAAACTCATAGGTTCACCAGGTTGCACTTTTGTGATATCTGCACTTTTGTCTGTTATGGGCTCCCCGTCTGAGTTGAGTAGACGTGTGTGTCTGTGTGTGTGTGTGTGTGTGTGTGTGTGTGTGTGTGTGTGTGTGTGTGTGTGTTGCATCTCCCCTGAAAAGGTTTGTCACACGACATCAACATGTGTCAACTGGGTGGAAACATTTTAAAAGAATGCTTGATTCTCCCAACCTCCCCTTTCCTGTGGCTGGGAATGCTGAAGCTTTTGTGTTTTGGTAACAATGCCTGAGGTGGTGGATCCCTCATCAGCCTGAGTCTGGGTAGCTACAAGGAGAAAGCCCCACACTGACTCCCCTAATAATCCTTCATTGGCTATATACCATGTTCAAGAAATAAACTCCAGTAAGACGGAGGCCGTTTGTCACTGCAGCAGCATGTGTCCCATCCTGACCGATGCATAGTTTTTCTTAGCAGAACCTGTGATACCTGACAGTACCCAATGTGATGAGTAGTCAGTGATTGGGGAGCATGTTGCACTATTACATGGCTCCAGGTATTAACCTAACTGGGGTGGATGAAAACCACATAAATACACACACACAGAAAATCAGCGATTGGGTAAACTGAGCTCTGATGGAAAAGCCTCAGCATCCCAAAGGTCGGCATGTTTATTATATAGAGTCGAACAGAGAAGAATGTTACTGGATACAGCTGAAGAGGTAGGATTTACAGTAGACAGATGGATCCAGGGGATAGGTTTAGCTAATCTCAGGAGGGGCAGTCTCTGTAGGGGATTAGTCTTTGGGTAGAGGAGGAAGCTATGGTGGACATTTTCTGCACACACTACCAACATTTGCAATTAGCCCTCCAGGGGAGGCACTGCCATCCCTCTGAGCCTCACTTGAGGAAGCTTTGCCACTCTTGTGGGGCTGAGGCATTGGTATTGTGAACATGGCTGTGCACATGTCAAACAATACACATTCACTTAGGGCTTCCCTGCTCCCCACAGGAGAGACTTTAATGAATTCATAATAGGAAAGGGTCACTTCCTGATCTCTTGAGAGTTTATAAGGGCTACTATTCAGGCATCTCTGGATCTATTTGGCAATAAGTAGCTCTAACATTTCCAGAATTCTATCTGAGTAGGCATGCCTGCGAAATTCTGTCTCTCGGGAGGCTATTTTAGTGTTGATATTTGTTCAAAAATTCATCCAAGTAATATTCATTTACAAGCTGGCCACCCAAACTAGGCAGAACTAGAGCAAAGCTCTAAGGCTAACACCTGAACCCATTCCAAATGAAAAAGGACATTACTCCCAAGGCAACACCTTGTTTCTCAGTAACCCAGGCTGTGTGTCCACTGTGGACTTCCATGGTTACCCAAACACAGAGACCTGCCTTCCTGGACTCTACTGCTCTTCTTTCAGTTTCCACGGCCACAATGCACAGTTGAGCAAATAACATTTCTGACCCCATCAGATTCTCACATTCGGCAAGTAGGACGCTGAAAGAACCAGTTCACTCTGAAACATTAAAGTCAATTAAATGGTTTAGAGTTATGAGTATTGTGAGCAAAATGAAGACAGGTCAAGATTGAGGAATCTAATTTTCTACCGCTAGGAAAATGGCTACTTTAAAAAAATAATAATAATTTCATGGTTGTTGACATCTCAACACAGGTTTGTTTGGTTTTTTTTTTTTTTTTAATTTTAAAATTTTGTGTCTGGTTCTAGAGAAGATACTAAGTGTCTTATATATGCCGGGCAATTGTTTTACCACTAGGCCATGCTTCCAGACCAGAGTGGTTTTGTTTGTATTTTTTTGACAAGTTCTCATGTAGCCCAGAACTGGCTATACAGCTGAGCATTACATTGAACTTCTAATCTTCCTGCCTCCACCTCCCCAGTGCTGGGAGCACGTACAGTCATATATGCTACCATGCCTGGTTTGTTTTTGTATGTATGCATTCATTTATTCATTCATTCATTCATTCATTTTGGTTTTTCAAGACAGGGTTTCTCTGTGTAACCTTTGTTACGTTATGAAGGCAATTCAACTGGCCTGCCTGCAGGGGGCTTTAGGGTCCTAAGTTACCACCTGTGTCCTATGTTATCACCTGGGGCGGATGCTCCAGATATAACCTGTCTGCCACTCCCACGTGCTCTATGTTTGGGTTTCTTTCCCCTTCCCTCTTCTCGGACTTTTCTCTCTCAGGGGAACTCCCCACCATGCTATTTTTTTTCTCCTCTCCTCTAACTCTTTTTCCCTCCCCCAAATAAATCTCTTCATATCCAGATCTGTTGAGTGTGTGGCATTTTTAAATATATCATAACAGCCTTGGCTGTCCTGGACTCGCTTTGTAGATCAGGCTGGCCTCTAACTCACAGAGATATGCCTGCCTCTGCCTCCCTGGGTGCTGGGATTACAGGAGTGAGCCACCACGCCTAGCTCAGGCCTGGTTTACGCAGTGTGAGGGATCAAACCAAACCAAAGGCTTTGTTTGTGTTAGGTATGCACTCTATCTCCAGCCCCCAAAGAGTAAATGTTAAATAATAGTATTTTATCAGTTATAGATATCCTGATTTTTGGATGCTGTTGATAGAATAGCTTCATTCTTTGGAAATACACACTAAGGTATTTAGTCATGCCTGCAATTCAAACTATTAGTAAGAAATAATACAATAGGAAGAGAGAAAGAAAGAAAATATGGCCAACAGCTTAACAGTTGGAAAACTTAGGTCAATGGCCAAAATATTCCTTTTACTATTCTTGCAGTTTTTCTACAGATATAATTTTTTTTTTAAAGTTTTGTTTGCATGTTGGGGATGGTGGCGTGCTTGCTCACATGCATTCACCCATTCATGCATGAGGCCAGAGAGGAGAACACTAGTGTTCGGTTTTATCATACCCTGCCTTATTCCCTTGCTTGAGGCAGGGTCTCTACTGAACACCAGCAAGTGCCAGTAATCCTCTTGTCCCCCATCCCCTTAACAGCGCTGGGATTCTAGGCATGCTTTTTCACTATGGCCGGCATTTTTACCTGGGTTCTGAGGATTTGACCTTAGGTCCCCATGCTTGCACAGCTAGGGCTCTTAGCCACTCAGCCATCTCTCCAGCCCAAAAGTGAACCGCCTACTTAAACGCTTACATGCTCAAGGGCCAGGGAGATGGCTTAGCAGGTAAGGACGCTTGCCATCAAGCCTGCTCATGTACGTTCAATCCCCTGGGGACCCACATGGATGAAGAAGAGAGGGAACAGAATTCCACAGCTGTCTTCTGACCTCCACCTGTGTCGTGCCATGGCGTGAGAGTGCCTCCCCAGTATGTAATTTTAAAAGTTAAAAAACAAAAACAAAATGCTTGCTCCAGACCAGCAGCTTTCATGTTTTTAAAGTATAACCCCACCATAAAATAGAAATTATAGCAACCTAGTACACAAATACACATGGTTTGAACAAGCACATGCAAATTACAGGTTTCACAACACAATGCTTACTCTTAATTCAAATGTGACACCTTGAGAGTTTCCTTGTCTATTATGTTTTTGTTAACGTAGGATTTGGGGTTCTTTTGTGCACTGCAGTGCTGGGGGATGGAAAGCAGGAACACATGGTACAGACTATCACATCACTAAGCTACATCCCCAAACCCCTCATGCCTTGTGTTTGCTTTTAAAGATTTCTTCTCTCTCTCTCTCTGCATGTGTATGTGTGTGTGTGTGTGTGTGTGTGTGTGTGTGTGTGTATACACCACTTACAACAGTTGTAATTTCAGCAAATGGGGAGGCTGAGTGTGTAGGGTCACAAGTTCAAGGCCAGCTACATAGTGAGACACTGCCTCAGGCAAACATGTATGAGATTATCAAAGAATGAAAAAAATTAAGAAAAAAAAAGAAAAGAAAAAGTACGTTGCCATTGACAGCTTGGCACACCCTAATCTGTGTGGATACTGGAAACTCACCTCTCTGTACACAAAGAAAGGGACACAAACTGTACTTTTCCAGGACTTTGACAAAATAGCTACCACTGCTCACAGCGTGGCGGCTAACCAGAGCATCTATTTAGCCAACAAATGGCATTTTTGTTGACCTGATCACCTGATGGCCCACTGGGCACCTGCACCTCCTGTGATAAGCTCATGCTGGTTCTACTGCCAACTGTAGATGGGAGGGTGACTGACCAGGTTTGGTTTATTTTGTTTTGTTTTGTTTTGTTTTTTCGGCGATGAGTATAGAAGCCAGGGCCTCACCCATATGAGGCAAGCACTCTACCACTGACCCATAACCCATGGGCCAACATTTAGGAGGCAACCTGCAAAGCTTACCCTCATGGCCAGGACCCAAAGTGCTGCCGATTCTGAAGCTGGCAAAACAGTCAACCTCTGCTCTTTTCCACATCATCCTAAGAAAAGCTGGTATGTCGGGGGACTTGGGTGGGACTTCACATCTGTACCCTCACACTCGGCCCCTGAACATTCACTGTAGGAGTCAGTAGTTAGCTAACTCGTGCCCTGAGGAATCCAAGTCCCCCTTCTCAGGTCCTTACTGCTTTTTTTTTTTCCCTCCTGGCCATTAGTCTTTAGTTGAGCCTCTCATAATGATTTCCGTACCTAATGGAATCATTCCAGCTGGAGATGTTAACAAAGCATTGATGGGAAGGGACCCTCTTCACACAAAAAGAAATGCTAAAATAAAAAATAAAATAAAATAAAATAAAGGACGTTCACAATACATTGGAAGTTCACAATTAGCATTTGAAAGACTGAAAAGTCTTACATTAGAGCAACTGGTTTAAGTTTAATTTTAGCATTTTATAAATATGGTCCACAAACACACCTTGATAGAGGTCTGACAGTGCGTATACTAAGGGATCAATTGTGGCATAAAAGAAATGAATCCTTGTTTTAAATGCCTCTTGTCATACACCTCAGACCCCAGCAACCACCTTGAATCTAAGTCTCTTCCCCACACCCCTTCTCTAATGTCCGGTCCACCTTCCTGAATCTTGTCCCCAAGCCCCTGGGGGTAGAGGGAGGAAGAAGTGTTAGAAAAGACGGGGATTGGGTTTTATGGGCTACTGGGGCAGGAGGGCTGACATAGTCCTTGGTACTTAGCCAATCGAGTGCCGCTTTAATTTAGGCCTTGTGGAGATGAGAGGGTAGGAGTCCCAGAAACTTCCACTTCTCGTCTACTCACCATGTTTATTCTTCTCTTTCTCAATGGATGCCCACGTGAGAAGAGCGGAAATCTATACCTATTTCAGCGGCATTTCCCAGAGTTCTCCTCGGCCTAGGGTAAACAGTTACTTCCTCCTCAGCAAGAACGTTTATCACCATATTCCCTCACCCCTCACTACAGACAGTACTAATCACAGCCAAGCAAACCGTCTCCTTTGGGTCAGAGTGGTTTGGGGTCACTTCAGGGTGGCAGTCAGTCCCGCTGCAAGCTCAAAAGCACATACTGGGCCAGGCTGAGCAAGAGGCAAGAGGTGAAGAGAAACGTGGCCTTGCAGCCCAAGACGAGCACTCCCCGGGAGGGAAGGCTGTCATTGAGCGAGACGTTGACCAGCTCCCAGGTGGTGTTGGCTACCTCCTCCACAGGGAGCCTTGGGGCCAGCAGCTTGGAAAGGAGGCTGCTGAACCTACTCACAGTGGTGGCCACCGGCTCCGGACTCGGGCCTGGACTAGACGTGGTGAAGTTCAGCTCCTCGGGGTCCACACACAGGCCATCAGAGGAGCGTTCAAAGACCACCTGACTGAGGTCCTGGCCGGCCACAGAACCAGGGGAGGAGCAGACTACATCAGCCACCCTCCCAGAGCCCTCCATCCAATCACGCAGCCACTCCAGGTGGCAGTCACAGCGCCAAGGGTTCCGGAAGAGGAAGAGGCGGCCCAGGAAGAAGCCTGGCTGGAAAACGGCCCAGGAGAGCATGGTGAGGCGATTGCCATTGAGATGCAGGGCCAGGAGGCCCGAAAGGTTCTGGAAGGCTCCTTCCTCCACGAAGGTGATGCTGTTGCGGTCCAGGTAGAGCAGCTCGAGCTCCGCCAGGTCGGAGAACCAGGCCCGCGCCACGCTCCCCAGCGCGTTGCCGCCCAGGTTGAGTGTGCGCAGGCGGCGCAGGCCGAGGAAGGCAGCGGCGGGCAAGGCAGCCAGCAGGTTGTCGTTGAGCAGCAGATGCTCCAGGGCGTCGCAGTCCCCGAAGGCCCCGGCGTGCACCGCGCGCACTCGGTTGGCCTGCAGGCTGAGCGAGCGTAGGCGCCTCAGGCCCCGCAAAGAGCTGGAGGCCACGGCCTCGATGCGGCTGCGATCCAAGTGCGCGTGCGTCAGGTTCGCCAAGCCCTGGAGCGTCGCGGGCACGCGGCGGAAGAGGTTGTCAAAGGCGGTGAGCTCGCGCAGGGCCGGCAGCTCGGCCAGGAGACGCTCGGGCACGCTGAAGAGGCGGCAGGCCGCCAGGTCCAGGCGGCGCAGGCGGCCGAGCGCCGCGAAGGTCCTCGCGTGCAGGTAGCGCAGCTCGCCGTTGTGGGCCAGGCGGAGCTCGGCCAGCCGGGGCAGGCCCTTGAAGGCGCCGGGGGTGATGAAGGACAGGTTGTTGTGGCACAGCGACAGGCGGCGCAGCGACGGCAGCGTCCCGAAGGCCCGCTCGCTCAGGATGCGCAGGCCGTTCCGGTCCAGGTCGATGGAGGCCGCCTCGCACGGAAACTCGCCGGGCACCCGCTGAAGGCCCGCTCGGTCGCAGCGCACCGAGCAGCCGCGCTCCACGCTGCTACAGGTGCAGGCCGCAGGGCAGTCCCGCAGGCAGGCCTCAGTGGCCTGGGTACAGGGCAGGCTGAAGACCACCGCTGCAGAAGAGAGGGACCAGAGGAAGAAAAACAACAACAAAGGACGGTTGTCAGAGGTCACCCCAGTAACAGGTTACAGACCCTCCACCGAGCCCTGCATCCATCAAATGGCCTCTTTCCACCATGCTTAGCCACTGGAGCGCCCTCCCTTTTACTTTCCAGTTACCTTCATCAGCAAAATCGATGCCACAGTCCCCACATCCCACTTTTCTTGAAGCTTCCGTGCGATACGGATCACTGTGTGCCTTTAGAATGTGATTTCAGTGGTTTGTTGGTTGAGTGGGTAGGGGAATCCCTGATGGTATCTCTGTGCCCGCACATTAAGGCCTGTGCTGCCCAGTGCAGTAGCCAGGAGCCACATGGACCCCTGACCATTTGAAAATCGTCCAGCCAGGGTGAGTCCTACCCGTGTACAGAGGGTGCCCCAAAGGGAAATCGTACATCAACCATTCTGTCACATATTGAAATGGGGTTTTTAGGTGAGACATTGGGTTAAATAGTACTTAATGTCGGATGTTACCACCTTTTTTAATGCGGCTTGTCGGGGAATGTACTTAATGTATAGCGCTTGCGCTGCGTTTCTATTAGTGTCATTGGCCTCTTTCACCGATATCAGTGGCTGGTGAGTCACCCTGCAGGCTTTCTGTTATCTCATGATAAGGGACACATGCCATACATTGTCTATAAAGGAAAAGGGACTCTTGGCCAGCCATCAGGTTATAAATTAAGGGCATGAGAACTTTTTTTTTTTTTCTTGTCCCCATGAGGATCCCTATTTCCCTTTTTGGCCCGTCTTATTTTCTTTTGTGCCTTTGTATGGGAGTGTACATGCAGAGGTCAGAAGACAACTTACAGAGATCAGTTCCCTCCTTTCTATCAAACTCTACCAGGTCGTCCAGCTTGGCTTACTGGCTGAGCCATCTCACGAGCACTATGGAGCCTCTCGTTTCCAGGTCAGCATATCAAATACACTATCAGTGACCTTCTCCATCTCAAAAGAAATTATTATGGACACTGTGCAGTTAAGTCTCATTCACGAGCCCCCTCTCTAGAAACTGTTTTACATTACACGGGGAAAGAAAATATGCTTATAGATTTCGTTCTGAAAAATTCAAGTGAGTGATCAAATAAAGCCATCAAAAACTGCCCTCTCCCATTACGGCTGTCACTGACAGCAAACAGGGTAGCACGGCCTGCTTCCTTGTAAAAGACAGTGGCACCAAGCCTAGTCTGAGGAAAAAGGGAGTACTGAAACTGGGGCAGTTCAGTTGGTAGAACTACTGGGGGGTGTAGTTCCGTTGGTAGAATGCTTGGCTGGCTCACACAAAGCCCTGGGTTCCATCTGTAGCCCTCCATACATAAACCAAGTGTGTGGTTACATACCTGTAATCCCACCACTCAGGAGATAGAGGCAAGAGGAGCTGAAGTTCTAGGTCATCTTCAGCTACATAGTGAGTTCAAGGCCAGCCAAGGATGCATAAGAAAAGAAGGGGGAAGACAGCAATGATGAATGGACCATTTTCATTTTCCAACCAAATGATTTCAGGTAGTGTCCAGTTTCACAGTTTGTATAAGGAAAAGGGGTTCCAGGTACAAATTGCCCAATTTCTAGCAAACCCTACTCCAGCCTGTCATTTGGTCTCCCCTATCATGTACACAGTACCTTGCCTTTCTAAGTCCCTCTGAGACCAGAAGGCATAGGCAGCATAGGAATGTACTCAAGATAATGCTTGCTGCTGCCTCTAGGTTTGCTCAGCTTCCAGCAGTTCATCTGTTGGGAACATGCCATGGTTTCCCAGCTGCTCCAAGGGGAATTTGGCCCTCCCAGACTTGTCTTTGAGTGTTCAACTGAAAACAGGCTGCTTTGATATTCTGCTGTAGAAGCAGCTTGATACAGCTTTTCCTTCTCCCTAAAAACTTTGAGACAGAAGTCAAGCTACCAGCAAGATTCTTAGAACCTATATCATCATATTGGCTGGGATACACCCTGATAGGGAGGCAGGGCCCAAAACACCTTAACTTCAGTCCTCTGCTGAAGAGAGGACCTGTTCTCATCAACTCTTCCAACTAGGTCAAGTTGAGTTATCACATTTCCTTACCAGCAACCCTTCAGTTTACTCTCTTTTTCTAATTAAGAAAAGTACACTCTCAATCATATGACTCATGTTTCTCCTGCTGAACAGCCAGCATTGTTACAAGCACACAACACAGTATGGGTTAATAAATGGAATTGATGTCTTCCTTTATGAGCCTCTTGCCAAAAATGTCATTTGTTTTGAAAATTCTTTGTAGACAACTCAGGATTATAAGAGGGTGGCTCTCAACTGCCTGAACTCCAGCTCTAGAGTTATTATATTATTATCTATATGTTAATACATTATATTATTATCTTTTATATATTATCTATATGTTATATTATTATCTATAATATATAATATAGGTTATTACAAGTGATGTGTATAATGCAAGAGATCAAAAAGGTCATTGCTAATGTTTAAAAAATGCTATCAACACACGAAGAATGAAGCTTTCCATTTTATATTGCCTCTCCTTTAACCGCCCCCCCCCCAGGGTGCTCTCTCTGTAGCCCTGGCCAAACTGGAACTTGCTTTGTAAACCAGGCTGGCCTTGAACTCAGAGATCTGCCTGCCTCTGCTTCTCCAGAGATGGGATTAGAAGTATCCACCACCATGCCTAACAGCTGTATATTTCCTATTACAATAAATTTTTGAGCCAAGTGGTTTGAATCTAAAAATATATCTCAAAACTTGCCCAATAAAGTCTCAGTTGCCAGCTAATGAGCTTTTGATCGGTGATTGGATCTCGAGAGATGCTTCGTAGCCGAGTGGATTGTTAAGAGGTGGGAGGAAGCCAGGCGATGGTGGTACACAGCCTTGATCCCAGCACTTGGAAGGCAGGTGCAGGTGGATCTCTGTGAGTTCAAGGCCAGCCTGGTCTACGGAGTAAATTCCAGGTCAGCCAAGGCAACACAGAGAAACCCTGTCTCAAAAAGAAGAAGAGGTGGGAGGAGGCAGAGCACTGATAAAGAGTCTTTGAAGGGTGTATCTTGTTCCAAGACTCTCTCCCTTTGCTTCTAATAGCCATGAGGCAAGCAGCTGTGCTCCATCAAAACCCATTCAACATGGCTGTGCTGCTGCTTCATGATAGGCCAGAAACATAGAAGGGATGTGAATTGAAACCTCTGAAGCCATGAGGCACATTGTGCAGGTGAGTGCAGTGCCCAAAGAGGACAAAAGAGTACATCTGACCCTCCACAGCTGGAGCTATAGGCAGTTGTGAGCAACCCGATGTGGGTTCTAGAAACCAAACCTGGGTCCTCTGGAAGAGAAATACTTGCTTTTACCACTGAGCTGGGCATTTTTTTTTTTTTTACCGTGGTGGAAAAAGGCACTTACCTTGTGAGTGCATAACATATTTCAAAAAGTAGATTACAGTTGAATTTTCTACAAAACATTCAATATATCACCATTGGAAACCTATTTTTTTTTCTCTCTGAAACTTTGAGAACCATTAGGAACAGTAACTTACTGGATTAGCAAGCCAAACTTAAATCAAATTAATTCTCAAAACAGACAACAAAACTCTAGTATTAACTTACCAGGTATGAAGGCTAGGTATGTGACTAGTAAGCCAGAAAAGCATGGTACGAAAAGAAATTAAATATAATAACAATAACACATTGTGGCGAGTGCTGCTCACAGTCCTAGCAGAGTACCTTCTCTCGGGTGACTATTTCTGCAGATAGCTACAATATGCCCATAGTTACTGCTACAAGGAAACTGCAAAGGAAGGTCAATGTGGGTGTGCTAACCAGGACTTCACATTGCAATTACCCGAAAACTTTGAATACTCACAAACCCAAGCTAATCACATCAAGATCTTGGGGAATGGGACCAGGCACCGGCACTTGTAAAGCTCTAAGGGGCTAATTCTAATATGCATCCGAAGGAAGAAACCAAGGACCCCAGCAGGCCAACTTTCTAAAAATGGCATTTCATCTGTGTGAGTGGAGAGATGATACAAAGTCTAGCGAAGTGACCACCGCTGGGTGACCAGCAGTCCCAAGCCTACGTATGTAATCAAAGGAGTTGTAACGGGTGTAACAAACTTTTGAACAAGAGTGTTCATTGCAGCGCTATTAATACCATCCAAAAGACAGAAACAACAAATACCCATCAATGGATGAATGGATGAAGAAATGTGGCACATCTGTATAAGTAAAATACCTTTGGTGGTGCGTGCATGCGTGCGTGCGTGTGTGTAAGACAGATCAACATGAAATGTCTTCCTCAGTTGGCACCAATTTGAGACAGTTCCACGCTGAACCTGGTGCTCTCCTATTTGGCTGCACTGTGTAGTCTTCAAACCCCAGGGAGCCTCTTGTCTCTGTGTCCTCAGCACTGAGATTGCAGGCTGTCATCTTGCAGCTCCTGCCTTTTCTTTGGGTGCTAGGATTTGAACGCAGCTTGTGTAGCAGGCAATTTACTGACTGAGCCATCTCTTTTAGAATTGGCTGTATTTAGAGTTTCTGTATTTCTTTTGAAAGTCATGTTCCCTGTGCTTTCACTCATTATACCCGTCATTCTCTGGAAAGTCTTTTAACGTGTTTATAATAAACCTTTCCTTAGTAATCCTAATATAGGTCTATGGACCTGCCCTGAAGGTAAATGAAGCTAGACAAAATGCCATAGGAAGGCAATGAAGAACAATGGCAATGGAAGGTGTATCTCTAAATACACAAAACCTTCCTCTTCTCACATTAATTGCCTAATAGACAAATGACTGTTTAAACAAAAAATAGCAATATATTATGGAGTTTATAACATACATGAGTGAAAATGTGACAAAGTAACACAAAGGATGAAAAGGAACATGTGTTAACTTTTATAAAGACCTTCCACTCCACATGAGTCAATGCAAGGCTGTTATAATAGCCTGGATCTATGGAGAGGCTGAGACAACTATTTCCCTGACCTGAA